CTTTGGCACACAAGCATGTTCACTGAGCTGTGAGAAGATGGGACAGATTCGGAGAGGATATCTCCGATAGTATTTCTTGCAACACCAAAAGAAAATTGATTCCTTGAACTTACTATATACCGCATTGTCTCTGTTTTAATGTCATTGAAGTTTTCCAACTATTGTAAATACCATCATTCTACTACATGAATATCAATTCTTCGTCAACCTTCGCGCCCTCGCAGGTCTTCGATGTTGTGTTGAAAAGGCTGGCAGGTCTTATTTCCGCAAAGAGCTCTGTCGAGTCGCTGAAAACGAAGCTTTTCAGAATAAAAGAGGATTCCGCTTCCTGCAAAGAGAACTTACTCGGTAAGGTTACCTCTGTGGATCGTCAACTGTACTTTCCGGCATTGTATTCTCTCGAAAGGGCTAAGCTACTTGTGGTGTCAACCTATGATGAGGAAATGGCTCGATTAAAGAAACTGCAGAGAAACTTGGCGAGGTTAACTAGCAAAAGGGTTGGCTTACTCCAGACAGTCAGCGACATACCTAAGGAAGCGGTAGGTTTTATTATGACGTTTTAACCGTATCCCCAATAAACATGCTTCACTATGCTAAGATGTGAGCAAATGGCTTGTGTGTTAATTGAATTATGTTGACGATTGCGGCAGTTGCCCCCTTTCTCGCTAATTTCAAAGCCCATCCTGCTCCAGGGGTACTACTGTCGTAACAATCAATCGTTTGTCACTCCTGCTAGCCATTCTGACCTTATCACCGGAACAGAATAACCCCTTGCTGTCGATATTTAATACACAGCCTTTATTCTCTAAGGCTAACTTCTAACAGGCGCATTGCTAGTTTGATGTTGGTCCTTGAATCCAGTTAGGAACCTTCCATACTGCAATATCTGCTCGGTCATAAGGGTTCAATTACGTTTTTCGGGTATTTGAACAAAACAATTCTCAATCGGCTTTATATGTGTGCTTTCTGCATGCTTAGCAGGTGAACGTGAATCGGCTTGACTGACCTTGAGATCAATAAAAATGACAAAGTTAGCACATTTTTGTCAAAAACAGAAGAATTTGATTTAGTTTAGGCTGATATAAATGACCTCACATAAGAACACAAACCGCCCTCAGTGCAGTTGTTTTGTGCCAATTTACAGACTTAAAAGAGGTATGTCTATGGTTGGGGTTATATGTTTCAGTGTAAAGATAAGTACACACTCAGATTTGATGTAAGTTGGGTTAGGGTTTGGATAAGCGCACAGACTGGAGTCTTATTGAACGCAAGGAATATATGTAATGTGCATGGCAGGGCAAATACTATGGCTACGGCCCGAGCGTAAATGCCTTCCCTATGTTCATTCAGCGAGTCGGCTGTATTAATTAGGCTGGATATTTCTATTCCCATGGTCTGCTTAGAGGACCTTGCAAGTATTCCCTTTCAAATATCCATCCAAAATTGTCAGAATGATTAGTTTTGCCAAAGGCCTTGTGTTAGTCGTAATCGCTGACCAACTCGCGATAATGCCCGTGTTGTACAGACCACAACGAGATCTGGTAGCTGAGCAGCGGTGCCATTACAGTGGTAATATTACAAATGCATCACTCGAGCTTCTTGTAACATATAATGTCCCATCAAAAACGTGCGTCTGGGCGGCCGATTTTAGGATATTTTTTAATCAAACTGCTTGGTTTTGGAAATATGGTTTCAGCTAACCGTATATGCTATTTACAATTTGGACCTCGTATACGTTTCTGCGGGTTGATATAGTGTCATTTTCCATGACGAGCTTTATCTAGCCTTTATTATTCTGTTTAAATATTGTTTCACTTTACAAAGTATAAATAATATGGCACGTTTGAATTTATCAAGACACGCTCAAAGTAATATGCCAAATCCTTATTGGAACGAAAATCGGAGTGCAGTGGTTACTTGAAGTGACCAGTATATTCACATATGAGAAATTAGTAGGGTATGCAAGGAGGGTACTGAGTACAACCTTCAACATAAGTGAGGAGCTTAAGGAAATACAGCGACGAGGTAATGTCATGAACTAACGGATGCCCAATAAGCATGCAGGAGTTGCCGTGAAAACGCATCCGTGCGTTTGACCTTCCCCCAGTCACGCGCTTTTGAAAGATGCATTGTGGATGTAAGCGCTTTAGTTTTAGTTAAAACATGTTCTTGAATTGTTCTTATTACTCAGAAGTTTGCACCCAGGCCATTCTCTCGTTCCCTAGGAGGCTAGTCAGCTGAAGGAATTTGAACAGTCAATTAGAAAACTCCTAGATGGCATTGATGACTTCCAAAAGTCAGTGGAACGCTGCGCGTCTTCTGGATTCGATAAATTTAAGCTGTCTTACAATTTTGATTCGGTACGTTCCGAAAAATTTGAAAATGCTTTTATTGCTGTTTGACGAAGTGTAATCATTTGCAGGCTATCTTAGGTATCTCCCACTGCTATTTATTACATACTTTCACAAGAACTGAACAGTCAAGAATGCTCGTCATGCAAAATTTATATTAGTCGTTTCCACCAAGACGGCCTTCCCTGATAGCACTTAATCTCTTTTATCGTTGCACACATGTGTTAGAAGCTGGCTTATGTAGTGAACTAATAGTCATCGCTCTGTCTATGTGTAAAAAATATCCTTAATAAGATGATAGGTTAGGGAAACAAAATCCTTTTGCATAAGTTGTTCCCAGGGAAAACAGTAAATTTAAAAGAAATAGCAATCAGCCACTGAGCATTCATTGTCAGTCTTGTAATCCTTGTACGTCTAATGTACAGATCCAACTGCAGCTGCAACAGTTGTCCCTCGTGTCCTCTGATGTGAAAAATATTCGTGAACAACTGGCACTACTTCCAACAGAATCTCATATTAGTCCACAGGAAAACGAAAAGTAAGTCCTGTTATACCTGTCCAGTCAGATTCATTCTTTTTCTTTCCAGTGGTGAACTTTATTCAGTTTTTATCAATTACTTGCTGCAAGTTGAACAACGTTTAGTCATGAGAGGTTCGTAGGCTGGGATTCAAATTATTTGATAGGCTATCGTTTGCCCAAAAAACTGACCGCTGTATATTTTTTCTGAGATCCGTTAATTGCCATTATTCCCGAACAGCCGTTGGCTGATTTAATAAGGTTCTGCTTTTACTACTGTACATTTGTTAAGATCTCCGTTTACGGTGTCTGCTTTGACTTTCTTTCTGCCAGCATAGCATCCAGGACTCGTGTTTGCATGATTCTCGCAAGACGTCAGTCATAAATGACGGCTAGTGTTTCGACAGATTTTTTTAATAAGTTGCGGATTCCCTGTGAACAGCGTCTAGTGACCATACAATTTAACCCCACCTAAGCCTGCATAATTGCAGTCCGAAGTGTAGCAAAGTAGCCTCCGTGCGTTATTCGGAGCGAACACTGGAAGTTCACTTGGTACGTTTTAGGGTCACCGCCATGTTATCAATCCTGTCGGCTGCCAGGTTGTAAAAAGAAAACGTCCGTAAGTCAGCCTTGACGTTTCACCTCTGAATTTGTGGTGTGATTATCTGACTGATGGGGGTAGACACAACAGAGTTGTCTATATTCTAGTTCACCGTTTATTGTGTGATTCATAATTAAGCGGAGGGCCGGTGGATACTTCACAGAGGCCGTACAAATAGTTTTTTTCCGTCGATGTGAAATTGCTAAATCTACCATAGAGGATATACGACGGCCAGACTTTCGGTCTGCAGATAGTCACGTTATATCTTGTGTAATAAGCTCTTAAAACCTTTAGCCTGCGTTAACTTTATATCGTCGGTTCACAACCTTTGTTTCATTGGATCACATCGAAGATTAACAATGAACATGGCGTAACCGGCGTCATCGAAACTTATTATTTTAAAAGATGAGATGGTTTACAATAAAACATCGATTTGCGTGAGAACAGACAACGATTAATAAGGCGTTTTTAGATATTGCTTCATTGATTTATTATAGGACTATACATTTTAAATAATCACTATGCAACTTTCACTTTCTTAAGTAAATTAACTGGGTATTTTTACATTTTTATAGATCCCCTGAGATTAACTGGGACTTAGATCCTAATAGAATCTACGTAAAGCACCTGCCCGAGGCTATGGACGAGTGTGATCTGCATGCCTATTTCTCCAAATTTGGCCTGATCATTGAAGTCTTCGGGCCAAAGAACAAGATGGGTTCGGATTCTGTTTGCCGCGGCTTCGTCACCTTCCTCGAAACGGACTCAGTAAGACGCGTGCTTGAGGTCCAGCCACACC